ATACTATACATGTACATATCTACTTTCAGGCAGAACCAGTGTGGCTTCCAACAGGAATATCATTCATCCTTGAGTCCAGGTTTACTGTCTCTACTGTCCTTTACGGATAAGCCATCACTGAGGTAGGGTGTAACTCCTCTTCCTTTCATTCCTGGCTGGATTTAATGGGAGAATTGCCAAGCCAGAGTTTTCACATTTTATGTTTGTCTACCAGTGATATTTTAGCCATAGATGTCTCTTCAAAAATTTAATTGCTGAATTAATTTTTTTTTCTGTTTTTATGAAACCCACATCTGGAAAGTCAAGAAGTATAACAAGACAGTACGAGGAGTCCCAATGAGGAATTTGAAACACATTCAGGATCCTTTAGTAATTAATTGCAAGGAATGTTTATGGCAGGTATCATTCATACAGGGTCTATTTTTGTTTGTTTGTTCCCTTTAAAATATAAATAAAATAAAATTCTACCAAAGTGAAAAACATCCTAGGATATTCATGAAGTGAAAACACTGACTATATTATCTAATGATTAAGACTGAGTTGCCATAGATAACTCGGTTATTTGTCCTTTGGTTTGTACTGAAAGCTGGTGTAATTAAGCACTCATGTGTGGTTGTGTTAATTGTGCACTTGAAAATTTGTTACAACACAAACATTTCTACAAAAGCAAATTTAATATACAACAAACACTCACCATGTAAACACATCTTTTAAAAAATCTGGTAATAGTTCCAAGGATCACTTACAGGCTTCCATAAAAGTATTTTATATCAAGAATCTCAATACAGAATGATTTCTATGTCAAAATACATTTACGCTGTAAATTGTTATAGAAAAGAAAAAGACACAGAGAAATGGAGTTTGCTGGTACTGAATTCAACAGCAGCAACTGCCCCTGATAATCTTCCTTCATTTTCTACTTCAAGCATTTCTGACAACACACGTCCATCTACCCTTCTACAGTCTACACTTTGACTCACTCAATTGACCAGTTAAAAATCTCAAGACATTATTATCATGCTTATTCGCAACATCAGCAGCTCTCAAACCTGCCCAAAGCATTTCTGGGGGCCTGTTCCTCTCTGGGCTGACACTCAGAACTTTCCAGAACCTGTCCACAGTATCAGTATGGAGGACCATACTTTAGAAACTGAACAGTAGTTATCAAGATGCAAAACAGGAAAAAAGCCACATGAAAACCACAAGTGCAGATCAATCACACAATTTTATTAGAGTCTTTTGAACAAATGTATTCCTCTGTGAAAAACTCTTGCAAAAGCGACATTGGGGTATACTATTTTCAACCCTGAGCAATAGCGCTGCATACCAAGAGGGTGGGGCGAGAAGCTGGTTCCATCGAAACGCCAAGCACAGCCACTGATATGCTCTATGTGATCAGGTTTTTACAAAAAAATACATAGTTTTCAATAAATAATGCTTAATTTTACAACTTTGATACAGCAATGTCATACACCGTTTTAACACACGAAACTCTGCATGCTAGACAGGGTACAGAAGACAAGACTTCGCCATGCATTTTCTTTTCCCCTTAGTGCTATCGGACATCCTCCTCCAGCGCCGGCCTCGGGGAGCGGGCCCCTCTGTTTCACAGCCTCTGGTCGTGCGCTGGCATGCAAACTCTAAAAAAGGTCCCCCCCCCCCCCCACAAACCACTCAGACTTCTAAACAAAAGGGTTTTTTGTTTTTTTTTTTTTCCGCTTTCCTGCTCCCAAACCTGGAGTGGCTCTGAAAATACAGACTTGGGCAGCGTCCTGCTGGAAACTGCTCTGGATGTCAGGTGGCCCCGATCTGGTGGCCTCCAGGGAGCGCTGTTGGGCCACCACTAGGAGCCCCATATTGGAACCGTAGGCTCCATCCTAAAACAGTCCGTTCCAGAAAAGGGTGTCATGGAACAAATGCCAAAGACTCTTAAACCCACCACATATGTACAAGAGTAAAAATAGACAAAATGGGAAATCAAGGGTAATGGCATAGAACGTTTTGCCCATGTGATCCAAGGGCACTGTGTTTCTGAATAGAAGCTGGATGAAGAAATGTGTCAAGAGGGCCCTTTGTCAATATCTATTTGATCAAAATTCTTTAGGTTGCATATTAGCAATATTTCCAGTGGCTTTTTTTTTATATATATAATGAGGAAATATAATAGGTCTAATAAAATAAGGTCAGCATTGAAGTCACTTCAAGGACCCTAGAGTGAATTTTGTTTTTACCCATTTTTCAACAGCTTGTCATACTGTTCTGTTGTGTCATTTTCACAGCAGAGAAAATCCACGTCTATGTGACTAAGTAAAAGAAGCTTGATCAAACATTGAGAAGGAAGCCTCACGTCTGCCCATCCAGGTTGTCTCAATTCACCGATCGCTCATGTCAAAACACATCTCCGCTTGACCATATTGCTCTTAGTGGTTTGTTTTCTCTACAGAGAAGTGATCCATTTGCAACAGAAGTTCCTGTGTCATGTAAAACAGTCCTGTCTGTGCACTGGCAGAGGTATTGAATCTTCTCGGAGTATCTCTACCCAATAAAATTATTACTTTTATACATGGAACATTATGAACTTATGTTTCCCTTTGTAAGCCATTGTATACTTTCTGCACTTTTGTGCTTTTATTGAGTATAAAAATAGGTCTCCTTTAAAATTCTGTTTAAGTTCACTAAAAAACTACTTGTTTGTGAAATTCTCTTAAAAACTCACTGCATCCACATGGAAGAGATAAAACTAATTAGGCAGCTAGTTGATATAGGTAGTGCTAAAAAAGTAACTACAGTGAAAAAAAGGAAAAAAAAAGCTATGTTAGGATTCAAGAAAAAAGCCAGTAGCAACGTAAAATGGGAGAACTGAGTTTAAGAAATTGTATTTAATCTTTATTGATTGAAAATGAGGGCCCCACAAAACGGGGGAAGAAAAAGGAGTTATCAAAGAGTAGACTTTGCCAGATCATCAAATGAAAGGGGGTGTGGCAGAAAAAAATCCAATAAATGAACAGTGAAAAAGGACCAATGATTAAAATAAGCCAGACGGCTGAAAAGCACGTGTAAGAGTCAGCAGATGGAGACGGTTACTTTGGGAGCTTGTGAATTCCCGTGTTAGATACATAAGGCTCAGTCTTGGTATTCCTACAGGCCTAGGCTATACAAAGGGTATTTGAAACTGACATTCCTAATGAAATTTTATAAAATTTGGCCCTTACAATAACTGAGAAATATCCTGAAAAATCTTCCCTGAAGCTGTAATAAAGAAAGTTTCTTATCTACTGATAAAATTGACAACTCAGTAAATTATTTTCGCTGGTCATCCTACATAAGAAAAAAGCACAAATATATTGGCCTCAGAAATCTGTTAAAAGCAGGGGACCACAGTAAAAGAGTATAAAGATTCTACAAATGGGAGAGTCCAAGAAAACCTCTCTATAAAGTGTTCACAAGGATACATATGCCCATTAGAAGAAAAAGTAAGAATATACATATTATTAATCATATCAGAGAATAAAAAAGTTAAGATTGATATAATATATTTATATTGAATGACTACTTTAAAAGAGAGCAACTTATTTGCTTTATTTCTCAGATTACTTTCAAAAGTCATTTAAATTCTAAAGAGAAAAACAAGTGTAAGTTTCTCAAAGTGTACCAATAGCAAATGACTCTGGATCCAACTCCCAGAGAAGGGAAAAACAAGTCTTGCTGTTTAAGTCTTTCTTTCTCAAAGAAAAGCAACGGGGGAAAAAAACCAAAAAAAAAAAAAACCCTAAGTGGTCCTGACTGCTATATGCATGCATATTTAAATCACTTCCTCTCGATTAACATTAAAATGAAACATCTCTGTTCAAAATGGTTTTAATGATTTCCCCCCCCAAAGGATCTAACAAATAATTTGCCCTGTGACTGTAGTCATTCATAACATACAGAATATTTGCAAAGCACAGTTTAAATACACTGCCTTCATTAGCATTATATATTTTTAATAAAAGGATGCATATCAGAGTGTAAAAACTGGAAGATTATTTCCACAGTTTAAAGAATTAATAAGAGAATGCTGGTTCAAGTTCTTTAAGATGGAAATCTTAGTAAAATGCCATCCTAAATCTGTGAACAACTTACAAACAGCAGGATACCCACTGACTAAGCTGCAGTGCTCTAGGCATCCCTCCCCCCCTCCCCCCTTACTATTTAAAAATATTCTGTCAATGCTTAGTTCAAAATAAGACTTATTTAAGAGACCAAAAAAATGCAATTAAACTTTTATTGAAGACTATCCAGTGGCAAGAATACCTTGTGTATTATATTATGTTTTAGACATTCAATAAAGAATTCATTAAGAATGATTTTCACAATGCATTCATCAAAACAGCCTTAAATATTGTTAAAAGCGCATTCAAGCGCCTGTCCTGAGTTCTAACAGGTTTTTAATTTTAGATCGCCGATCATCTTTTTTGTTTTTTTTTTTTCTTCTTTTACTATCAAGAACTTAGGCTACATAGCTTTTGAAAATTTTCATCCAGACTATGCTTTTCCATTCTGAAGCCAAATCATTACATGTTACTACTGCAAAGTCTCTACCTCACCACAGAAAATGTCCGATTCATCTATGATTGAAACATAAAATACATGCAAAGTTTTCAGGTTTTCCAAGTACATCGACTCAGTCTTATGAATGGGTTTGTGTTTTCAACAAGTTTCAGAACTGCAGCAGATGGCCACCATGTAAAATTCCCAGCACAGAGAAGCGTCAATTGTAAACCGCTGGTTCAATTACTCGTGGCTAGAATAAATGTCCCACCAACGACTACATCAGTCTTATCATTTGGGAGTGGGGAACGGGGGTGGGAAGGTAAACAATTCCAGAGATCCAGTTCTAATATTGAGAACCTTGTTATTTAAAACCCTCAGCTCTTTCTCCTCCCAAGTGTTCTACGGAAATCTGATGATTGATTCCTAGAAATGAAACAGCCACAGAAAAGAAATGTGTCCGTCTACGGTCAAAGCTTGCTGGTTTCGCAAGGGGAGTGGGGGCCGGGGTGGAGACTCGCCGAGAAGAGGGAGGCCGGAGGAGGCCAAGCAGGCAGGGACGGAGCCCTAGAGGAAGAGGAGAGGGAAGCCAGGTTGGAAGGGTACCCACGCGCCCCTGGCCTAGCAGCTCCCGGCAATGAGTGGACGCTGCCCTTTACTCTCGCCAGCATCTCAATAAAAAAGGAGACCAAACCTTGGTAAATCATTGCAGTAGGTGACCAAGAAAATCGTGGTGATTTTGCACCGAGTTTCAGTGAGCCACTGCAAACCTCCCCCACTGCAGGCGCCGGCTCTCTCGGATGCAGAGCTTGAGGTTGGCGCTCGGGCCCCAGCGCGGCCTCCGCGCACCCTCCCTGCCTCCCTCGGCGCGGCCCCCGGGGAAAGACGGGCCAAGGCACCGAAAGGGCGCAAGGCCAGGGGCGCGCGTGCCGGGAGGCGCTTGCCAGCCCGGGCCCGCCACGAGGGCTCCGTGAAACAGGCGGCCGGGTCTGGGGAAACGAGAGTCGACGGGCCAGGCAAACAGTGCTCAGTATGGAGAACTCAGCAGGAGCCCAACCACCTAGGAGCCCACTCCGCCCCCGGCCTACCTCCGGGACAGCCCTGGAGCCGGCGCGCAACCCGGGAGCCGGGGGCCCGGGTGGGCTTTCCCGCTCATCCCCGCAGTTCGGCGGCCTCACGGCCCCAGTGCGGGTCTTCCCGCGCGTCTCCAGGTCCCAGGGCGCGGCGCCGAGGCGCGCGCGACATTCGCGCGGAGAAAGCCTGGCGCCCATGACCCGGGGCCCCATCTTTGAGATTCCCGGCCGCCGCCCAGGCGCCCTCGGTTACCGCACGCACCCCCCACCCGCCACGCCGGCTCCTCCCGCACAGCCTCTCCGGTGGCCGTGCCCCGTTCCTCCCGCCGCCCTGGGCCAGCCTTCCGCGCGCTCCTTCCTCCGCCTCGGGCCCGCCGCGCTCCGTTCTCCCGGCGACGCCGAAAAGAGTGAACAACGACCACCACGCCCCAGCACCGGTCACCGCTCGCGGTCCAGAACGGTAGCAGCGCTTCCCACCAGCGCACAGGCAGACATGCAGCGTCAAGGAGGGGGGGGGGGGGATTCAAAACTGGAAATGGCTGTTCCCCGCCTCTTAAGGAGGGAGAACGGCAGGCATCCGCGCGCTCTCAGCGCTGGTCACCCAAAGGCGCCGGTCACCGCGACTCGCAGCCCCGACGCGGCCCCTCGCCGAGAAGGCTGACCCCCGCCCGGCCCGCCCCGCCCGGCCGGGTGCCCGCGACGCCCGCCGCCCGGATGGGCAGGGAGAGGAGGGTGGGAGTCGCGGAGGTGAGAAAGGAAATGGGGTTGCAGAGAGGGGAGAGAAAGGAAGGCCGAGAGAAAAGAATCCTCCGCCCCAGGTTTTCCTAACCAGCCACCGAAAAAACGAAAAGCGAGAAATTGGCCAGCCATTGAGCACTTCCAGCCGAAGCCCGGGGAATATGGGATTCCCTTCGGCCAATTCCCACCCGCGCGCACAAGGGCCTTGTCTCTGAATGCCCTGCGACAACACCACCGCCAGTAGGACTTCCATAGAGACTATGGGCGATGCGAGTTTCTATCAGTTCCAGCTGATTTATTAAAATTGTCAAGATACAGACTTCCAGCACCAAAAAAAAAAAAAACAAAAACAAAAAACAGGCAATGATGTCGACAGTGCATTGAGTCTGCTTTGCCACCATTTGCTACAAAATATGCAGATGGTCTGTACTTTATTTAGATTATATTGCACAAAATGAGAAACTTTTTAAACTATGTGCCTTTTTCTTTTTGCTAAAAATCGAGAATCCAGTTTCAAACCTTCCATCTGGGGCCCCATCCACATATCACAGCGTATGAGATACATAAAGTCCTACTATAGTACAGTACATATACAATCTTTAAACTAAGATAACAGCTCTGAGGTCTATATCACCGTTTTCAATAAATCTTTACCTACAAATATTGAACAAATCTCTACTATAGCTGTACAAAAAGTTTGCTTTTTTTTTTTTAAACCACAAGGCCTTTAGATGCAAGGATTATTTTAAACTTTTAATCCTTTTTAAACCAGGACATAACGTACCAACATACTTGCATGCTAAAAAAAAAAAAATAATAAAAGAGGAAAAAAAGAAATCAAAAGGGAAGAAGTGCCTGAAAGTCTTACTGAAAAAACACAGCAAGAATGTTCCCTTTTCACTGTACAAAAATACGCCTGAAAATATATTAATTTTTAAAAAAGACTGAGGTCTGTTATGTATCAAAAATGTTTCAATACCTTTTGTACTGAGGTCTAGGCTGCCTGGTATTCAATCAAGGAGGTATAAGGGAACAAGTTACAAAAACAAAAGTTGGCAAGTAGAAATCACATTTGTAAAACCATAAACAATTTGATCTGAAAAGTAAACTCTGATCTTAAGTCAGTTCACAGTTTTTTTTTTGTAAGCGTTTGTACAGTCTGCATTTTTTCAAGCTCCCTGCAGTTTTGTTAAGAATCGGATGCATAGAAGACATCAGTTTTCTCCCTCCAAAAAAATAAAATTAAATTAAAAAATTTGCCATGGTCCCTTTTTTGTTTTTGTGTTTGTATTTTTTTTAAAAAAAAAATCACCAGTTCTTTAAGATCTCTTAAGAAAAAAAAATAATAAAATAAAATCTCCAACCAACTCCCTAGTTGTGCTGCCAAAGGGTCCTCTGCAGGCGTCTTCCAGACTTCAAAGACCAACAAGCTTCAAACAGCGCCTTCCGGAGCGGGTCCTCGCTCCCCTCCCCCGCCCCATTCCCTCCACCTTTGTTGCCATCGCGAATTTCAGAAAAAAGAAACAGTAATTACAAAAACACATTTGAGGTGGGGGGGGAGGGATCACAACTCCAGACTAGGTATGAAACTACCTTGAGACACGATCAAGGAAGGGAGGGGAGGTTGGGGGGGGGGGGGACAAAAAAAGGACAGGAAAAATGTTTCAAAAACTACTCATTTCACTTTTAACTCCACCAAAATTTTCAGCATCTTTCCAATTTGTGTCACGACATCGTATCAACATCAGCATCTTCTTCTCGCCCCTCCACCCTACCGCCATCACCGTCGACACCAAAACCTTGTATCATCATCAGCATCATCACGACCACCACGACTTCCTCCCAAGGAACCCTGCTCTGCACCCGCCAGAGAAAAAAGAGCGAGAACGGGGCGCCCCCACCCCACCCCTCCTCTCAATACGTGAACACCAGGTCGGAGAAGTTCGCCTCCAGCCAGTCCCCCGCGATCATCTCGCTCAACTCGGGCGTGCAGTAGTCGGGGAACTCGAAGTGGGAGCCCAGGCTGCCCTCGCTGAACGAATCCAAATCCTTATCCACCAGCGACAGGGACAGGTTCCCGGCCGCCGCGCCGCCCCCCAGCTGCTGGTCGCCGGCGCCGTGCGCGCTTTGGGAGAAATTCAAGCTCAGGTCGAACATCAGGTCGTCGGCGTCCTCGCCGCCGCTGCTGCTGCTGCTGCTGCTGCTGCCGCCACCGGCGCCGCCGCCGCTGGACGAGGAGGACGAGGAGGAGGTGGACACGGAGCGCGCGGATGCGGGCGACAGCGCGGGCTGCGCCAGCGGCGGCGGATGCTGCTTGGTGATGTTCTTGAAGCTGTAGTAGAGGCGGCTGCCGCCCCCCGCGCCCGAGGCCGCTCCGGCCCGCACCTCGTCGTACAGGCTCGCGCCCTCGGGGGACTCGGCCGCGCTGCTCAGCGTGGGGCTGGCGGGCACTTTGGCGACGCTGTAGCGTCTCAGCAGCGGCGGCGGCGGCGGCTGCTGGCCCGGCGGCTGCAGGAGCTGCGCGTGCGGCGGCGGCTCGTCGTCGTCCTCGTCCGCCTCCTGCTTGATCCGCAACTGCAGCTCGTCCTCGTCGTCCTCTTCGTCCTCGTCGTCGTCCAGGAATACGCACTTGACCGTCTTGCCCGCGCCGCTCACGCGCAGGCTGCCCAGCACGTAGTCGTCGCCCGCGCCGCCGCCGTCCCCGGGCTGCGCCGCCTTGCCCGCGCCCGCCTTGGCGCCGCCAGCCGCCGGGGCCGCGGGGGCCTTGAGCTTGCCGCATTTCTTGCTCGAACCCTTGGAGGTCTTGCCGCCGCCGCCCGCGCCCGCGCCCGCGCTCCCGCCGCCGCCGCCGCCGCCCGCCGCGCTCTTCTCCGGGCTCTGGCCGGCGCTGGGCTTGGCCGACGGGTCCATCTTGGGCTTTTTCCGGGGCCGGTACTTGTAGTCGGGGTAGTCGGCCATGTGCTTAAGCCGCAGCCGCTCCGCCTCCCGAATGAACGGGATCTTCTCGCTGTCCTTCAGCATTTTCCAGCGCTTGCCCAGCCTCTTGGAGATCTCAGCGTTGTGCATGTCCGGCGACTGCTCCATGATCTTCCTGCGCTCGATCTTGGACCACACCATGAACGCGTTCATCGGCCGCTTGATGTGGCCCGACGCCGTTTTGCACCAGTCCGGGTCGCTCTCGTCCAGGGCCACCGGGCTGCAAGCCATGAATTCGCCCTCCTCCGTGTCCAGCGCCTCCCGGGGCAGGTTGCTCTCCGCTTCCAAGCTCTCGGCCTGCTGCACCATGATCCGCGGCGGGGCTGGGCGCTCCCACCCGGGCCGCTCTGTCTCGTGCGGGGCTCCTCCTCCCCCGCTCGGCCCTCCACCTTCCCGGGCAAGTTGCAAAGTCCTGGGCACCCCGCGTCCGCGGCTCCCCCCCTCCCCCCCGCCCCCCCCTTCCAGTCTGCACACAGCGGCTGCGGCGACTCGGGGCCGCCCGCGCGCGGGGCAGCTGCGGCCCGCGACGCGAGAGGAGGAGGAGGCGGCGGCGGCGGCTGCGGCGGTGGTCGGAGTAGCCCGGGGACCCTCTCTCTCTCTCTCTCTCTCTCTCTCTCTCTCTCTCTTTCTCTCCGGCTCCTGGCTCCCGCCGCGAGCGCCGGACCCCGAGCAACTCCCAGGCGCGCGCGCGCTCCTTCTGCAAAAAGTTGAGGGCTCTCTCCCAACTAGTTATCAGGGTGTCATCGGGGTGACGTCACCCCGCGGGCCAGCCAATGGCCGGGGCCGGCCCCGCCCCGCCGCCTTGATTAACTTGGCGGCTCCGCCCCGTCCCCGCCCCCGGGCTGCAAAGCTGGGGTGGGGGAGGGGGAGGGGGAGGAGGCAGGTCTCGGAAAGTGTTCTTTAAAAAAAAAAAAAAATCCGCGTGTGTGCACCGAGGCGCCCGCCTCCCCGGAACGCTCGGGAGCCGCGCCCGTCCCCGCGGGAGGGCCGAACCGGGCCAGCCCCAACGTCGGAGCGACCCGAGCACACCGGGTCCCAGGAGGAGCCCGGTGCCCCTTTGTGCCCGGCCCCCCGCCACCCGCCCACCGCGGAGGCCGGTCGGGGTGAGCCGGCCAGGCGCGCTCCCTCTCCGCGTGCGCAGCCCGGGCACGCGCACAGACCAGGCGGGCGGGGGCGGGGGTCGGCGGTCTGGCCCTGGGGTGGGGGGGGTGGGCGCCGCTGCTGCTGCTCCCCCGAGGGGCACGGGAGCCCGCCGAGCGCCCCGGCCGACGGCAGGTGGCGCTTGGACACAACCGCCTTCCCCGGGCACGTGGGCGCTCCCCTCCTTTCTCTCCCTTTCTCCAAGGCCGAGACATCCCTTTAAAACCCGGCCGGCGGGAGCCCCCCGCTCCGGTTGGCGCTTTCAGTTTGGCCCTTTCTCGGCGGCTGTCTCCCCTCCTCCCCGCGTTGGGACGCGCCGCACGGTGCGCTTTTGGAGGCCCCTCTGCGTCCCGGCCCCCGGCGGAGGCCGGAGTAACGGTCCGTGGGGCTCGGCCGGGCCGGTCCTTTGGCCCACGATCGGGCCCCTTCCTCGGGCTGGTTCCAAACACTGTACGGACGCAGAGCTGCGGCCCAGCCCTGCCGCGCGCCGCCCCCCAACCCCGCGCCCTCCCCTCTCCCCTTCCTCTTTGTCCCCTCCCCTCTGTCTCCCCACCCCCCCACCCCCCCAGAGCAGCCTCGTCCTGAAATCGAGCGAGAGCTAGCACGCCTTCTGGATCACTCGTTAGTGTAGCTGAACAACCCAGACCCAAGAGAAAACGGGAGCACCCCGAGTTTCAAGTCGAAATATTTCCTTTTCCCGTGGAAAGGTGGGACCGACCGCCCGGAGGACCGGAACGCGGCGCGCAGGCCAAGCTGATGTCCCAGCCCCGCTCCCGTCTGTCTCGCGCCGCTCCATCCGAAGCCGTGTTTCTTTGTGTGTGTGCGTGCGTTTGGTCCCTGTTAACCATCCCTGGATATTCTGGGCGCAATTAGGAGGACACCGCCGCTTCTTTTCCAGTCTCTGTCGTCATCTCGGTCTTCACACCCTCTCCGGCGTTGGGAGCTGGCAACTTTGAACAGTTCCCGAGATAACGCCCAGAGGATTTCAAAAGAAAAGTCAGCTGCTTAAGACTAGTAAAATTAGCCAAACCTGCTTCCTTTCAGGTGCTCTGTCTGCGAGAAAAAGACTGCATTACCTAAGCATTGCAGCTTTTCTGACGTCTTTAGTAACAGGGTACCATTTTTTCACAGATGCTTTTTTTTTTTAATCATCGTGGCCATACCCTCCCCGCTTCGTCCATCCTAAAGAAAAAACAAAAAAACACTGCATCAAATACTTGTGATATTCAGGCCAATAAGACTGGCAGTTTATTTTTTAAAGGGCCAGAGGGACCGAAAGAATTGACAGTCATTCTTATGGGTTAACCTGAAATCTGGAGATGTCTGAAAACCAAAGCAGTATGTGGAAGTTCATCTCCCCGCCCCCCTCCAAGTCACGCACTGCATCTTGTGTTTCTCTAGCCTCACAGGTTTCTCAACTATTCCCGTCGTTGGGAGCATCACAAGAGGGTGGGGTGGCCTAGGTGGTGACCCTGCCCCTGCTGCAACCCCACACTTCGGCTGGAGGGCTTGGAATAATTTAGGTCCTTGCAATATTTTCAGGCAAATTAGGAGGGCACCTAGCATTTTAGAAAGAGAATGCATTTGGGAAATCTTTGCAAATTCAATATTTATGTACATTTTTCACTGAATAGCAAAAAATCAGGTTTAACTTCTTACTTAATATTTTACATGAAAACATTTTGGGCTTTTATTTTCCCGTTTCTCTTTGCCTTTGTTACAGAGACTCCTAAAATCTGTCCTTGGGAATATACAAGTAAGCCGCATTCATATTCTTCTTAAAGCATCTATTTTTTTTTTCAATTTTTTTTTAAAAAATTAAGGTTACTTTTAGAATGAGAATTATGTGAGGGCTGTAAAATAATAGGATTTATTCTTACAGTGTGGTGATCTTAGAGGAAATGTAAGGTAAAATGTACTCTTTCAAATAACAAGTGTAATTTCTGTGCAAAGATGGCCATTTTGGGGGAAGATAAAGCTGGAGGAAGGGGGTTTGTTATTAGGCAAAGAGGACTGGGAATGATAAGTAGAGATGAGTGGGTGAGAGAAAGCCCTGTGATTCGAGGAGTCTTTCAGTAAACAGACATGGGGAGGGGGGCGTTGCTGGTGCGCACAGGAATGTGGAAGAGCCGATTTCGCCCTCCCCGCCATAGGCAAGGCAAGACAGTTTTCAGGGGGATTAACTAGATTGCTGTTTTGTAACATGGATCCACCCTGCACATTCAATGTTAGCTACTTTACTGAGGACTAGGATTGAGGAAAAGAAAATAAAATTAAATAACCTCTCGATGCTTTCTGTTTGTTTCTTAAATAAGTGTATCATTTAAAAAAAATAAATGGGAACATGTTTGAGACCTGCACATTTCTCACAGGAAGAGTATTTACTTGTGAAAAATGGAGGTTTGCAACACCAGCAGTACTCAAGTATTTAGAAGAATTTTAGGCTACTGAAAACTGTGGCCTTCTCTAATGATACACCTCTTGGAAGTCTAATTTGGTAAAACGGAAATCTGTCTGCTATTTTTTTAAACCACTGAATTTACCTCAGGATCAGATGCACCTGTGTTCTCTTTTAATAGTGAATATGCATGTCCTATTTGTTTGTACATCCACCTATGTATGCACTTGTTTAGAAGTGAGGGATGCAATCTTCTTTCTAAGAATAAACATTGCTGGGTATATACTTAATGTTCAGAGACTTAAGATTTATTTTTGATCATCAGAGCTATAAATGACTATTTTCTGTGTTTATTGGATCTTTATTGAAAAATGTATAAGAACTGTTGTATGAGAGGGTAAGGTATGCTACAGAATCTCTCAACAAAAACGCAATTAGGACGAGTATGACATATTCCTCTTTCCTTTGAAGAAGAAACATTTTACTAAGTAAATAACACACTAAAAATATCACCGCGTGAATACCCGATTCACTGAAAGGAACATGCCATTTTTAGACGTAGTCCGCTCCATGCGTGTCTCCACCGCTGACAGCGTGCTGTGCAGAACGGCTCTTCCCTTTTCTGCCTGGAGGTCCTTGGCCCTTCTGATTCATCTACATCAGACCTAAATCCTGAGTTTGGATCTGAATATCTTCCACTTACGGGGCCTCCCTTTTGTGTGTCCCTCAGCCATGGTGTGTGTGAGTGCACTAAGGCGCTCAGCCGTGTCCGACTCTGTGCAACCCCATGGACCGTAACCCGCCAGGCTCCTCTGTCCATGGGATTCTCCAGGCAAGGGTACTGGAGTGGGTTGCCATTTCCTCCTCCAGGGGAATCTTACCAACCCAGGGATCAAAACCACATCTCTATGTCTCCTGCATTGGCAGGCGGGTTCTTTACCACTAGTGCCACCTGGGAAGCTGCGTATAAATTGAACTCACCCTAATTTCTAGGCACATGCACACGCATGCACACACACACACACACACACAGTGCTCTTCACTGCTGATTTTCATATATTCCCTCCCTTGGTGAAACTTAACCACAACATCATGTTTAGTCGCTCAGTCGTATCCAACTCTTTGTGACCCTACGGACAATAGTCCAACAGACTCCTCTGTCCATGGAATTCTCCAGGCAAGAATACTGGAGTAGGTAGCCATTCCCTTCTCCAGGAGAACTTCCCGACGGAGGGATCTAACCCAGGTCTCCTGCATTGCAGGCAGATTTTTTACCGTCTGAGCCACAAAGGAAGCCCCTAGTGGAATGTTGGTTACCAGGACATACACGTTCACTAAAATAGAATGTGGACACCATCTCAGAATCATTACTCGATACACTTAAATACTGAGATCTTTATAAGGTGACGATTTCTGTCTCAAAAGAATTCCACAAGTCAGCATGATCAGACTCCTGCCTCCCTCTCAAAATCACCTCATTCTTCTCATGACGCTTTGCCTTGGCATTGTCCTACCCACCTGAAACTTTCCCATCACCAGATGTCTGCATGTGGAGCATTCACTGCATTCAGACCTCAGGTGCAGTGCCCCTCCCCCAGGAAACAGGCTGCCAAGGACTTGTCAATACCCTGCTTGGCCCATCACACCTCTAAAGTTAAAATTTTCTTGCATTCTCACTTGTTTATTCTCTGAATCACCCAGCCAGAGAGTACGCTCCATTAAAGCAGGAGCAGTCCCGGCCGGGTTGGCATAGGACGGGGACTCTGAAACT